TTCTCCAAAGTAGAAATTCAGATGGCCAACAGACACATGAAAAGATGCTCCACATTGCTAATCATCAGAAAAATGCAAATTGAAACCACAATGCGGTATCACCTCACACCAGTAAGGATCACCACCATCCAAAAGACAAACAACAACAAATGTTGGCCAGGTTGTGGAGAAATGGTAACCCTTCTACACTGCTGGTGGGAATGTACACTAGTTCAACCACTGTGGAAAGCAGTATGGAGGTTCCTCAAAAAGCTCAAAATAGAAATGCCTTTTGACCCAGAAATTCCACTTCTAGGAATTTACCCTAAGAATGCAGCAGCCCAGTTTGAAAAAGACAGATGCACCCCTATGGTTATTGCAGCACTATTCACAATAGCCAAGAAATGGAAGCAACCTAAGTGTCCATCAGTAGATGAATGGATAAAGAAGATGTAGTACATATACACAATGGAATATTATTCAGCCATAAGAAAAAAACAAATCCTACCATTTGCAACAACATAGATGCAGCTAGAGGGTATTATGCTCAGTGAAATAAGCCAGGCAGAGAAAGACAAGTACCAAATGATTTCACTCATCTGTGGAGTATAAGAACAAAGAAAAAACTGAAGGAACAAAGCAGCAGCAGAAACACAGAATCCAAGAATGGACTAACAGTTACCAAAGGGAAAGGGACTGGAAAGGAAGGGATAAGCGGGGGCAGGGAAAGAAAGGGGACATTACAAATTGCATGTATAATGTGGGTGGGGGGGCATGGGGAAGGCTGTACAACAAAGAGAAGTAGTGATTCTGCAGCATCATACTACGCTGTACTATGCTAGACAGTGACTCTAATGGGGTTTGTCGGGGGAGACTTGGTGATGGGGGGAGTCAGTCTGGTAAACATAATGTTCCTCATGTAACTGTAGATTAATTATACCCAAAAAAAATAGCATGTATTCACCATCATAGTAATAGTACAGTCCCTAAAAATCCTCTGTGGTCTGCCTATTCATCCCTCTCTTCACAATACCTGGAAACCACTGATCTTTTTATTATCTCCATAATTTTGCATTTGTCTTTTAATTCATCTATTTTGATCACTGATTAAGTGGTTATTGAAATATATATATACAGTTGACCCTTGAACAACACAGGGGTTAGGGGTGCCAACCCCTGCATAGTTGAAAATCCACATATAACTCTTGACTGCCCCAAAACTTAATTACCAATAACCTATTGTTAACCAGAAGCATTACTGATAACATGAACAGTTGATTAACACATATTCTGTAATGCTATATGTCTTATATACTGTATAAGTCAAGGAATCCCCACAGCTATAGTGAAGATAAGCATTAGGGAAAGTTCTGCTACAGAAAAAGAAAGCTTGTAGTTCATGTTGAAGCAGGAAGCTGATTTGGTACAGGAAGCAGGAAGAAGATGTGGTTACATCTTCAACAAAGTAGACTAGACTATATGGAACGTTGTCCCGAGAAGTGTAATATAGAGCTTTGTGGCATGGAGGATTTAGTTAAGTGTCTAGTGACAATTAGGCAATTATTAACTCGAGGAAAAAACAAAAAGGAAATAAAATAACTCTGCATGATATACTACTTGGCTCAACAATGAACAGTATATCTTCAGAATAATTAAATATGATAAAATGTGTAACTGAAATTTAAGATATAATTACATTAGGAAAATGGATAAGAGGGGTTAGAGTTTCAAGTGAGTGAAGATGTTTGTCAAAAAATAAGTATTTTCATTAGACAATGAAGAAAGGCACTGCCTATGGGATGCAGGATAAGCATTGAGGAGAAGAGAGAATGGTTAGTGCTCTTTTAATTTAAAAATGAATACATGTAGTTTGGGAGTAAAGACACAACATCAGGATTGAGAAACTCCTGCTGAGGCATCATTCTCCTACTGAGGTGATGGCTGAGGGGATAATAAACTTGACTAGACCTTGTAAACATAAAATGGTATTGAGCAGTGGACTATTTCAAAGAAGGCTCTTAGCATACATTATCTATCTAAAGGGCTAATCAAAATTATCTGGAATTTATGGATTTACAGTGCATTACTGGTAGGAGAATGGAAATTTATCGTATGGGCATTTCCTATGTGTGTAACCTTGAGTACAAAAATGGGGAATTCCAAAGACAGCAGCCTTTGAGAACACAGATTCTACAAATGTCATATAAAAGTCACTTGTTAATTCAAAACCAAAAGGCATCACAAGGAAGGGAAAACAGACTATTTGGAAGCTGTGTCTCATATATGCCAACTTCTACAGAAAGAAATGTTTCATCTTTGCCTGGTTATACCTGTATCATTTGAATCACTAGTAAACTTCGGTGTTTATTAAGTTATATAATTAGTCTGCTTTGACATTTCAACCCTTTGTAGAAATGCAATAATATTTTTTAGAAATTAAGTATAAAAATTGTTGAACAAATTTTAAGCAGTTAAAAATAGAGAAATTCCAGAACGGCGTATTTATCAAACCTGTCAATGGGGAAGACAATCTAATCTTTAAATCAATGTTAGAAATCACAGAGGAAATGATAGCTAGATTTCACCTTATAACTTTCAAAGAGATCTATTGAAAAAATGAATAAAACTAAAGGCAAACAATAAATCTTACAAAACATTCATAATAAATATGAAGCAATATAAAGATGTTGCCAGGCAGAGCTGTGTTTGGGGAGGTCTCTCCCTGTGCACAAGGTGACAACTCACCTTGGATGGGGGAAAGTTCTTGACTCTGAACAAGAAAGAATTCTTGAGCAGTTCAGGTCAGAAGAGTGTAGGTAAGGAAGGAATTCATTAGAGCAAGAAAAGTAGGAAATGGTAGCTACCCTGCAGGCAGCTGAGAACAGAAAAGTGAAGAAGGAAAGAGAGAAAGTTCACTGAACTCCTTCTCGGCCTACAACAGATTCCCTTGCCAACTCCTAAAGCCAGGGTCACCTGGTGTTCCATGTTCACTTGGATCTGCACAGTGTGGGGACTAGCTCCTACTACCACAGGATTTGTGGAAGCTGCAGAGCAAGGGATTGAATGAGATTATGCTCTGAGAACTTCCCAAAGAAAGGAGATTTTCAGGCAGGCTACTAAAGAGCAGACCATGCAGCTGCAGTTTGGTCCAGGTCACCCAAATGATGGGGACTTGCAGGCCCAAGACGGAGTTCTCAGCAGCCCCTCCCTACTTATCAGGAGTAAAGCAGAGACTTGGAAATATAATGAAATGGCAAACAAACAAAGACACTTACCACTGGAAGAACACAGAGACAAAATGCAATTAAGTTGAGCAGTGAGAAAGTTTTATTTACACTTAATCAAAGGAAAGTGCGAGCGACCTCAGAGAAGACGCGTGCTTAAAAGGCTGGGAGTTTCATCTTTTAAAGATTTTCAGGTGACAAAGGGCCAGGAGGTACAGACTTGTAAAGCGGTCCCAAAACGCTTATCTCTGGTGAGAGACATTAGGTCTCCTTTCCTCTATTACCAGTCCTCCAGGTAATTCTGCAAAATTAACACAAGTAACTGGTAGGTTCCTCTCCAGGATAGCAGCTTCCCTCTGGGATATCAATCAAGACTGCCCACCCTGCCCCCAAAGTGGGTTGAGCTATTGTCTATTTACTAAAGAATATGTTAGGAGCCTTACCTCCTAACTTCCTGGTTTTTAAAATGGAATCTTAGCCTTAACACGGAATCCTTCCTGATCTTACTATACTATTTATATGTTAGATTTTTTTTGGAAAATTAATCAGGATGCTTGTCCCATGTCTCTGCCCTATCTCAAAGGGATTGATGACATTTATCAGACAAAAACCTCATAAACAAAGAAACAAAAATTGACGTGACGTATTTTTAATCATATAGATATCCATTTCTTTAATTCAATTCTGGTTACAGTTTACACTGGAGGAGGGGTAAAACAGCACAATTCTTTACAAAAGACCTTTTGCAAAATTTATTTAGAGCTTTAACATGTATATGCTTAAGAAGGAATGCATCAAGTTCAGAGAACCTCATTTTCAAAAATTCTAAATAGGGAAAAAGGATTATACAAAGAAGTGTTCACTATTATAATATTTATATTAACAAGAAAATAAAAGAAAGAAACAACCTAAATGCTATGATTTATGCTGTACTAATCTACAAGAGACATTTACTAGATGAAATATTCTGCAATACTTATCACTGTTAATTTAAATAATTAGTAAGGGTTTGTAACATCTAAGTAAAATTTTCTATTAAGAGTGAACAGATTTCAACTTAACATAGGCATGAAGATCCCAATTATGTTAAAAAATAAGCTAGTAAAGGTAAAATATAGAACAAAAGGAAAATAAGATACCAAGATATTAACTGATCACTTATTATTGGTAACTTTATGTCATATAAAAACAAAACATAGTATAAGATAGTATATACTAGACTTGCCTTTTTGTGAAAAATACTTAAACACATATAATAAAACACAAAGCCAAAGCTTGTCAAAAGTATGGTGTGCAGAGTAAATCAGTCATATACTTGAATATTTGGAGAAAATGAGTAAATAAATATTCAAAAAATAATTCAAAACCTTAATATACTTGTCCTTTATGTGTACTTAGTCCTTTAGTAACCTATTTCTTTGGGGAAAAAAATTCTGAAATAAAATTTCCATTATTTCATTTTATATCCAATGTATTTTACTTTAATAATTTATATTTTGATTTAATCATTTAAAAACTACCCACACAATAAGGTATTAAATTGACCTTTGCTTTTAATTATATCCTATTTTTTTAAGCAAGGGTCAGTCATATGAGACTATATCCATGCTATTTATTGAAATTCAATCTCACAGACTAACAATTTAAGTGACACACAGGAATCATATCATAATTTTACTTTCCAGTATTTCTATTTTTCAAAATTAAACATCATATTCTGAATTTTTATAACTTTTAGCTGCTTAAGGATAAATAGCTTGTTTATGCACATCAGGTGAATGTTTTTATATTACATACCAGCAGCTTGAACATGACATGGTCGAATAAGTGGTGTTGTCTTTGATACCATAGGAGAATTTGTCAAACAATGTTGAATGTAAAGTTCTGAAGCCTTGAAGAAATTAATTCGAACTTGCAAATTAAAGTCATATGTTGCCACCTAACAAACAAAAATTCAATACATTAACACCTGTGACTATTTTTGCTCTAAGAAATTTGTGATATTGGTTTTTATTGTACATATTTAAAGTATACAGCTTGATGACTTGATTGACACAGTCAAGCTAATCCATCACCTATCCATTAAAATATCCATCACCTCACATACTTACCTTTTCCTTTCTTCTCCCTTCCTTTTCTTTTCTTCCTTTTCCTCTTTTCCTTCCCATCCCTCCTCCTCCCCTCTCCCTTCTTTTCTTTCTTTCTTGTGGTGAGCACACTTAGGAGCTACCTCCTTAGCAAATTTCAAGTATAACATACAGTATTATTACCAAATCATAAACTACCATATTACCCAGCAAGCTCACTTCTGAATATTTATCTTAAGAGACTGAAATTAGGACCCCAAAGAGATACCTGCACTTCTAATGTTCATTGCCACATTATTTACAAAAGTCAAGTATGGAAATAATCTAAATGTCCACCAAAGGATGAATGGATAAAGAAAGTGTGCTATACACATACAATGGAATATTTTTCAGCTTTAAAAATAAAAGCAAATTCTGCCATTTGCAGCAACATGGATGGACCTGAAGGACATTACACTAAGTGAAATAAACCAGACACAAAAAGACAAGTAATGTATAATATCACTTAAATATCACCTAAAATAGCCAGACTTACAAAAGCAGAGTAGAATTGGTGGTTACCAGGGGCTGGAAGAGGAAGATGTGGGAAGATGTTAATCAGGGGTACAAAGTTTCAATTTTACAAAGTGAGTAAGTTCTGGAGATCTAATGAGATACTATGGATTTAGCAAAACAGCAGTTTAAGAAAAGTTTAAAAAAGAAAATCATCTTGTGACATTGAAAGCACATTATTTTCAAAATAAGACATCATTTATTTTTCATGAGTTCAAAATAATTCTTAAAAAATAAAAAGGAAATTAAATGATTCTTGTTAATTGAAAATGGCCAAAAAACCTAAATATAAAACTTAAAAATCTCTAAGTTTTATAGAAAAAATAATCTTTGTAATCTTTGGTTAAGCAAAGATTTCTTAAATACAATACCAAAAGAACCATCTATAAAAGAAAGAAATGATTAAGCTGTACTTTATTAAAATTAGAAACATCTGCCCTGTTAAAGATAATGTTAAGAAAATTACAAACCAAAAAACATTTCTGACCAAAAAAAAAAAAAAAAAACAAATCCAGCTTGTACCCAAAATACATAAAAAACACATGAAGATAATAAAAAATAAAGTACCAATTAAAAAGTAGGTAAAAAAATTGAAAAGAAAATACACCTATACTATATTACCACATGAAAAGATATTTCACATCATCAGACAATGACATTAATGACATTACCAAGTACTGAAAAAGATGTTAGCACCTACCACATTTATACACTACTGATAGGAATGCAAAATTTTATAGTCATTTTGGAAAGTAGTTTTCCAATTTCTTAGAAAATTAAATATGTACTTAACATAACAGCCAGAACTCCCAACCCTAGGCTTCAAAATCTAAATCAAACAGAAATGAAAATCCATTCATACAAAACTTGCATGGAAGTGTTTGTAGAGACTTTATTCATAATTGGTGAAGCTTGAAAACAAGCCAGATTCCCTCCAAAAAGTGAACAGATAACAAACTTTGGTAAATCCATACAACAGAACATTGTCCAACAACAAAATGGAATGAACTACTACTGCTATGTATAATAACATGGATGTATTTCAAATGCATTATTTTAAGTGAGAGAAACCAGACTGAAAAGGTAACGTACCCCATGATTTGATTTATATAGGTGAAAAGGCAAAATCATACAAAATGACATCAGTTTTTGCCATGAACAGGAGGTTGGGAAAAGGTTGACAAATAGGCAAAAAAAAATTTAGAGATAGAACTGTTCTTTATATTGACTTTTTTAAATGCTATACAACTGTATGATTTGCCAATATTCATAAAACAGAAAGAATTTCTCTGCAACATGATTTTAAGAATAAATGAAATGGAAAGAATTTAAAGCCAATTCCTTAGCTCTGAATTTTATATAGCTGGCTTCAAAATCTAAATCAGACTAACAATATAGGCAGCTAGTCAGATGAGTCACAGAAGGATGAACACTTAGAGCCTCATAACATCTTGGTAATTATATACTACTAACTACTCATTTTTAAATGAAGACTCTGTGGTCTAGTCTTGATAAAAAACAGAAGTTTGCATCAAGGAGAAGAAAAAGAGCCAATCTTGATGTTTAGGACCCACACCAAAATCAAAGGATAGGGTAATATCAACCAAATGTTGGACAGCCAGCTCCAAGTACCCATCCCTCTACAGAAACATTGAAAAAGAAGCAAAAGCTGTCAGGACGTCATTTTTTAGAACTCTGGAAAATGACCAAAGATTTACAACAACTAAGTGAACACAGGACCAAGAAAATTACAACTTAAAAATAGTAGGAAAGTTTTATGGTACTTTTACTTGCCCTTGTGCCTCTCTCTTCCTGACTCAGTGGCAGTCTTGAAAATGGCAGCCTATGTGCCAGTGTGGGACTCTGGTATCTGGTTTTGGATGAAACAGAGCACACATTCACATATGATTGTATTGGTCTGTTTTAACCTATCTGGGACTACCTGAAGGACTGATCCAAAGTACTTGGCTTTGTTTTGCCTGACTTCAAACTCACTCAAGTCAGAAAAGCAATGGATATTGCTCAGAAATATTGTCAGGTAAACAAAAACTTTGCAGCCACATGGAGCAAAAGATTATTGTTGTGACATGCAAGTACAGCCTAAAACCTGGAAAGAAAAGCTAGGGAGACAGTTTCCTTGAGAAATTAGAGCATTCCAAAGCACCCATGTATACTAAGGAATTTAGAAAGTTACAAGCATACTCAGGACAGGACATGTGCTCAGAAAAGACCTAAGAAGACTCTAAGATATGACCTTCGTATGATCTCTAGGCTAAGTGCAATTGGGAAGAAAAGGCTAAAACAGTTATAAATGGCGTGGATAACTTCCAAAGAAGTGCATTGGCAGAGTCAATACACAAGGAAAACTATCAAAATACCAGCTGGACACAAGCTAATGGAACAGAGAATTCACTGATCACATTCAGCAAGAAACACATTCTTTGCAAAAATAATCAGGAAAAGTTGCTAAATAAATGGATGTTTGTAGCCTTCAACAATCAAGAACAGTAAATCCTGGAGAAGGCAGATAAAATTGATTTCCAGAGTTACCAGATTATAACATTCAAATATTTAGTTTTCAACAACAAAAAAAATCACAATGCACACAAAAAGAAGAAAAACAAAAAATCATGGCCCTTTCAAAGGAAAAAACAATGTGACAGAAACCATCCCAAAGAAAGCCCAGGCACTTGGCTTACTAGATAAAGACTTTAAATCTACTGTCTTAAATATACTGATAGAGCTAAAAGAAAAATAATAAAATAATATATGAAAAAATGAGAATATCAACAAAGAGAAATAACAAAAATTAATGAAATGAAAAGTTGGTTCTTTGAAAATATTTTTAAAAGGCAGAGGAACAAAACCTCAAGCCAGACAGAAGTAAAAAATATAAGACATGAATAACTAAAATAAAAAATAAGTGAAAACACTACTATCAATGGTACAAAAAAAGAGAATTCAAAAATAATTTTATCAACAATTGTATACCAATAAGCTGAATAATCTAGATGAAACTTACAGACTTCATAGAAAAACATAAATTACCAAACTGACTCAAAAAGAAATAGAAAATATGAACACACCTACGGAAGTGGATGATAAATCAGTAACACTCCCCAACAAAGAAACCTTAAGGACCAGATGGTGCCACTGGTGAATCCTGCCAAACATTTATAGAAATTATACCAATACTTCTCAAACTCTTCTAAAAAACAGGAAAGGAGGAAAAACTTCTTATGAGGTCAACATTACCCTGATATCAAATACAGATGAAAAGATTAAAGAAAAAAATTACAGACCAATATCCCTTATAAATATAGATGATACAATCCATAAGAAAATACTATGAAACCAAAGCAAACAGTATCCGTTAAGTATTATACACCATAATCAAGAAGGATTGACCCCGAGAATGCAAAGGTGGTTAAACAAAAACAAAAATCAATCAATGAAATACTCCACATTAATTGAAAGAAGGAAAAAAGTCACATGGTCATGTCAACTGAAAGAGAAAAGACATCTGACAAAATCCTACACACTTTCATGATAAAAGTATTCAGAAGGGGGCGGAACTAACATGGCGGCGTGAGTAGGACAGTGGGAATCTCCTCCCAAGAACAAATATATTTTTGAAAATACAACAAATACAACTAATCCTAAAAGAGAGACCAGAAGACACAGGACAACAGCCAGACTACATCCACACGCGCGAGAGCCCAGCGCCTGGTGAAAGGGCTAAGATACAAGGCACGGTCCAGCGGGACCCAAGCACCCCCCACCCCAGCTCCCGGCAGGAGGAGAGGAGTCAGAGCGGGGAGGGAGAAGGAGCCCAGGATGGCTAAACACCAAGCCCCAGCCACCCGCACCAGAGCGCAGACACAGTGCATGCATGGAGGGCTGGAAACTAGGGAAATAGGTCAGCAAGACCTCTGAGCGGGTTCCGAAGCTGATGCCCCTGTGACAAAGAAAAGCGAGTGCTTTTTGAAAGTCTTAAAGGGACAGGGACATAACAGCTGGACGGATAAAACACAGGTCACAGCCCAGTGGCTGGAAATTACAGGGAAAACTGGGTGCACTAACCCCCTGCGCAACAGCTCTGAGACCCCTCAAGGAGGTAAACAGCCAAACAGCCCCCCTGTCCATTACACCTCCTGGGCGCTTCCTCCATACTGGCTGGGCAAGACAAAAAGACCCAGTCTACATGCAATTACCCAACACAAGCCACTAGGGGTCCCAGTTATCCCAGTAAAGAAAGGCCAGGAGCAAGTGAAAAGTTTGGCCCTCCCAGCTGACAGTC